TGTCTGCAGTTTAGACAGTATTTTTCAAACAGGGTTGTTGGCTTTTGGAATGAGCTGCCTTCAAGGGTGTTGGAAGCAGAAAATTTAACTAAGTTCAAGAAAAGATTGGATGAACAAATGAGTAGTAAGGGGTGGTTATAGTTAGGAGCTGGAAGGGACATCCTCGATGGGTTAATAAGATCCTTTTTGTCCCTTTAAAAGTTTATGAATTTAAAAGCATACACGGGTTCCTCACTAATCCCTTCAAAATGTCGTGTGACAGTTAATATTTTATTGCTTTTCAAAAGAAACTAAAGACTGCTTAAAAAAGGTCAAGATAATAAAGAAATATCACCTTTTCCCTTGTTTTGAATAACTATGTTTTTGGTCTCAACAATAAAACCAAAGCTTATTAATTTTCAGTTATATGAATGGAAACAAAGCTTTAGGACTTTAAGTGACTTTCCAGAGTGAAATTATCTATTTTAAAATACTCGTAAACTTAAGTTACTTATGTCCAAAAACAACTGTATTTGTTCAGTCCTACTAAATTTGTTTCACAATAAGTAAATTACTAAATTAGGCTACAGTTTTTTAAAATTCCAATTTAAAAATATTAGAACTTAGCAGCATATGAAGTCTTTCGTGAAAAATACTGAGCATAGACATTCAAAAATACTCTTTACAACATATAAGTATGCAAACAGAACATGAAAGTATAACCATAATCATGTAATTAAAATGAGTGTTTTTGAATTATACACAATTTTCTCATATTTTAAAGTAGAGTTTGAAAATTAGTGGTATTTTAAAATACATTCAATTAATTGATTAAATACATACACCACTTATCATCTACAATACACAAAACATTTTTTCTCGTGAGAATTCTTAAAATTGATACTGTACCAAGTTATAAGAGCTGTAGGTGTCTGAAACTATACTAACTTTGATGAAAATAAATCTCTAAGTTTAGACACATTTTTAGTGTCTGGAAAAGCCAAGACATTAGAATTACCATGGCAATGGGAGTAAGACAGTTGCTAGTATAGATCAACTGCCACATTCTTTTTGGTTAACTTTTGACTAGATAGGTCATGGGCACCAAACTAGCTTTGATCAAAGAAAATAAAATACAATATTATAAATGAGTTCTACAATTTACATATATGTTATTATATAACATTATATGATATTTTTACGACATCGAGGTCACACGACTAGTATCACGCCACGTCATTCTCGAACTTTCTCGTATTTTCCTTAAATCTCGTGATCTTTCTAGATATAGTGTAGTCTTGTATATATATAAGACGTTCACAACATGATGGGACAACAGTGTAATGAGTAATTGAATGTATGCGGACAAAATATTGTTGGCCATGTGAGATGTGAGTTATAGCATTTGATTATAGAGCGACTGTTGAAATTAAGTGTATCGGTAAAGTTGTATTCGGAAAGAATAAACCAGTTTATTTAAGAAAGGACTTGTGTCGCTAAAGTTTCGTTGGAACGAATTTACGGAAAATTAACTAACAAATGGAGACATAACAAATTGGTGTCAGAGAGTGGGACCGAAAAGAAAAAAAAATGGAAACGAGAAGCGGCAAATCAAACTACAGCTTAGCAGACTTGATGGCAGCAATACAAGAGGAGCAAAAGAAACAAGAAGAACAAGAAAATAAACAAGAAGAGAGATTACAGCAGTTGCAAGAAAACCTGCAACAGTGGCAGCTCGAACAGCAAAATAAACAAGAAGAGAGTTTACAGCAGTTGTTGGAGGAGAAAGAAAATAAACAAGAAGATAAATTACAGCAGTTGTTGGAGGAG